TATACAATGTAGCTGAATTAGCTACACTATGAATTAATGAATACACAGGGTAGTTGAATTAGCTACACAATGAATTAGTTAATATACAATGTAGCTGAATTAGCTACACTATGAATTAGTTAATATACAATGTAGCTGAATTAGCTACACTATGAATTAATGAATACACAGGGTAGTTGAATTAGCTACACAATGAATTAGTTAATATACAATGTAGCTGAATTAGCTACACTATGAATTAGTTAATATACAATGTAGCTGAATTAGCTACACTATGAATTAATGAATACACAGGGTAGTTGAATTAGCTACACAATGAATTAGTTAATATACAATGTAGCTGAATTAGCTACACTATGAATTAGTTAATATACAATGTAGCTGAATTAGCTACACTATGAATTAGTTAATATACAATGTAGCTGAATTAGCTACACTATGAATTAGTTAATATACAATGTAGCTGAATTAGCTACACAATGAATTAGTTAATATACAATGTAGCTGAATTAGCTACTCTGTGAATTAATGAATACACAGGGTAGTTGAATTAGCTACACAATGAATTAGTTAATATACAATGTAGCTGAATTAGCTACACTATGATTTAGTTAATATACCCTGTAGTTGAATTGGCTACACAATGAATTAGTTAATATACAATGTAGCTGAATTAGCTACACTATGAATTAGTTAATATACAATGTAGCTGAATTAGCTACACTATGAATTATGGAATATACAATGTAGCTGAATTAGTACACTATGAATTAATGAATACACAGTGTAGTTGAATTAGCTACACAATGAATTAGTTAATATACAATGTAGCTGAATTAGCTACACTATGAATTATGGAATATACAATGTAGCTGAATTAGCTACACAATGAATTAGTGAATACACAAGGTAAATAAATACTGTCAATATACACTTACATATTGTACTGTACTTACATTGTACTTTCAATTTGCAGTTATCAGATACTGAGAGTTCATTAGTGTGGTCTACAAGTAATCAAGATGCTAAAAAATTAGTAGATTTACCAGAAGACCAATTTATAGATGCCGTCAATAATGCATTTGTAGGTATCATTATGTCATCCTATCTGTTTATGCAGACTTCTCACAGATATATATATACCGTAAAATCTGTATTAGAAGCCTTATTCCTAATAGAAGATGCACCTATTGTTTTTGAATAATTGAGAAACAAAAATTCATCATTTCTCATATGTGTAGATGCTCTAATAAAAGCCGCATCCCCTCTGTTGCATTGTACCATTTTATTATAAGCCGCGGTTTTTAATACAGATTTTACAGTATTATACATCTTAAAAAGGTGTTAAGGTCTTATGCCCTTTAGAATACATTTAAAAAGTTTTTAACTTCAGTCCATAATGATCAATATCAAGTCTATTTTGAAACAAATCTTATACATGATTCAAAGATTATGATGCACATCACTTAGTGTTAATATCAAATATTATATTTCATTACAGTGGCAGGAGAGTGAAAAACACCCATTGGTTGATACAGCTGGTCAGATAATGGGAAATGTATTGTCTACATTGTTACCATCTACCGGTGGTTCTTCTATCAGACAGCTTCCTCCAAGTATCATTGGAATAGATGATAATAGCCGGGCGATGTTCCCTCTTGGGTTAGGTCACTCTACTCAGTATGTCAAACCTAGATTGGTTCTCATAGGGTAAGTCAATTAATGATGTCATATCCTGTTTCACAAATTGCATTGTGGGTAGTTAGTGTTTTCTCTAAGTCACACACGGTGTAGTACAGCACATGAATTGCAAATATGTTCTTTGCAGACTCTATGAAGAGTTGTTTATTAGTGCTGGTTTGTGTACTACATAATGAATCTGAAAATTATATACAATATAAATTATATGAGAGAACATTATAAAGTTATAAACCACCATGATAAATATAATTACAGAGATGCAGCCCACAGAGTTCATCCTCTAGCTGGTCTTGGTGTCAATCTAGGTTTTGCTGATGTTGCCAGTCTTAGAGATATTCTGGTAGAAGCTGTAAAAAATGCAGAGGATTTAGGTATGTTTCTCAAGATTTGACACTAACTACTTGGTACAATGATAGTGACTAGTTGCTGAATTAACCCATGAACTAATTATTATTTTTGGAGTGGCTCATGAACCTGAAAAAAACCCAAGGTGAATTGATTGCATCTAAATATTTGAATTTCCTGCTAGATGTTTAAATGTTTAGAAGAAAATAAAAAATAATTGTTATATAATGCTAGACAAAAAAAATTCATTGAATTTTTCTTGTGAAAACATGAAAGAGGTGAGTAGAATTTTGTTTTCACCCAAATGTTGGAAGCAAAGAACGATGAAGCAGTGAATAGTTGCTATGATTGTGGTTCTGACAACTTTCTGCCCAAGGTCTCACAGTGTGTGATTATCTTGTACCACTGCCAATGATCAAGTGAATTTTTTGGCACAAATTAAAAAAAAAAGTGATTTGGTTGGTGCAAGCGGGTCGAGAAATTTTTTGTCTGGCCTAAAGAATAATTAATAAAAAGATTGTCAACATTTTGAGAAAAAAAACATGTTTAACTATGGCTTTATGTACAGTAAAAGAGTTGTAACTAAACTTGGTGTCGTTTATTAACAGGTGCACTTCCACATTTATTAGATTACGAAACAGAACGACAGAAACATGTGGTGCCAATAATGGCAACAGTTGATGGATTGAAGAGATTATTTTCCACCGATGCAGCACCAGCAGTACTTCTAAGGAGTTTAGGTTTACAGGCAACAAACGCATTCAAACCATTGAAAGACTTGTTTGTTCAAGGAGCTTCTCGATAGATCATTTCGTGGCAACATTTTATAGTATATTTATTATAGCATGGACTGAAGTACTATATTAAATTTTGTAATATTATTTGACGCCATACTGCACGGTGTCTGTGAATATTCACCAACCTATGTGGTTTGTACAAACACATATTGGGTAGTAAAATTTTGGTAAATGTCACAGGTACCAGTCATCTGCGAATACTCTTTATGCAATCTGAAAATTTACATTGTTTTTAAAATGTTTCTTTTCTCCAAATTGCTCAATAGTTTTGCTATATTGTCAACAGTAAACCAATCTTAGTTTATAAACATACTATATAATTTTTAGACCTGGTTGTGTCTTTGAATGTGTGAAACAGGGAACTATGCAAATTAGCTGCGAGGTGATGAGGGAGACTACTTATGTTGGTGATTTTATTCCACCAAAATTGACAGCATTTTTAGCACCACTATAAATTGTCTTCCACCAGACTTTGAGGTAAATTTGATATTCTGATCACACATTGCAAAACATACTTCTGAAAAACAAATACAGCAAACTTATTAGATATTTGAATTGGGTTCAAACCATCTTCCAAAATCCAATCATACAAATCAAGGAATTCTGGGTAATTCATAGTTGTGTGTAATGGTGCATCAGCAAAGAATGTTATTCTGCCGAGTCACATGTATTTTGATGAGTGTCATTGTAGAATTGATAATGTTGATAAAACACACATGAATCTAATTAAGAATTGTTTTGGGTTCTGTATGTACATGTGTTGAACATTGTCATAATTGAATACTTTTGCTCTTCAATTTGTTTCATTGTATCATGAAAATCATAATTTTGACAACACATGGCGAGTTACTGATTTAGTTTTCAGGATTTCATACATACTTTAACAGATGGGTTGCATGGTCCATTTAGGTATTATAATAACAATTTACTGGTAAATATTAAAATCTAACTTTTCACTTGGTACAAGGCATTTCAGTTGTCTCTTCTTTGTTTGGTTATCTAGTTCAAAATTCCTGCTGATCTGCACTGGCTCGGAAGATGAATTCTGATTGGCTAAAAAAACAAAAGACTTGTGGCGTTGAATGCACGTTCATTCTCAGTAATGTTATGCAAATTAGAAATTCAAACTAGCTAATCATTTACAACCTTCCGAGCCAGTGCAGATTAGCCCCAAAATTCATTTGAACCAGATTGTGTTCAGTGACATGATATGGGACATTAGCAACCTACATCATGACGTAGGTGGCTAAGAGGCTTTTGCATGCGAGGTCATACACCCAAACTTTTCTTCCAATACCTGTCTGTCATTTTTGTGCACGTTAACAAGGCATAATTGAAAGCTAAAGATTGGTTCTCGAGACGTACAGATATCTATTAATACAGATACCTACGAAGATGAACTAAATTGCAACGAGTTCGTTCCTTGCACACAGCAATCAAATACATATCTTGTCATATGCAAATTGCTGCAGGCAAGAATACGTTGAACAAATGTATAAAGGACTTTATGACCAAACTGACCACAGTAACTTGACTACCAGAAGTCGAAAATAGCATTTTTTACCCAAATTGACAAAAATATTCGTCAAATAGAGAATTAGCAATATCGTCAGGAAATGAACAAACCTGACAGATCAACCCAAGGTAACTGCATACCAAAGTATCAAATTTACCCAGTAGATTGAGAAGTGAAAAATGCAATTGGTGGACAACATTCACCTACCAAGGGTATATTTACAGCTCTGCCATCTGTGATGAAAGAGCTAAAAAACTTGGACCACGAGGACAGATTTGCCCCTCTTATACCTCTACTTTGATACGAACAAGGTAAAAATGGAGGTACCAGATAAAATAGCTTGAAATAGAACAAAACGAGGCACAATAGCTTGTGTATTGTAAACAGAAATAAGGACCATTTGCAGTTTCAGTCTGTTTAGAGCTTAGACCAAAACAAGAAACCATCTGATACCCTCCCTTGCCAGTAGATTGTAAAAACAAGCAGCCTATCGGCTGAGATAGCTCCGCTGTTAGCAATGCACATTTCAATTAAAAAACTGAAGACATTTGAAAATGAACAATATGTATAGTATCAAAGCAATCAGACTTAGTTTTTAACAAGTTGAAAATATCACTTTTTACCAAAAATGACAAAAATATTCACCAAAATTAGAGAATTGAAGATATCATTACAAAATGAACAAATCTGAGAAAGGTCTACATGTAGTATCTATATATGTAATATCAAAGCAATTGAACTATTGGTTTTTAACAAGAAGTCGAAAATATCACTTTTTACCGAAAAATTACAAAAATATTCACCAAAATTAGAGAATTGAAGATATCAACATGAAATGAACGAATCTGAGAAAGGTCTACCCAAGGTACATATACACCAAGTATCAAAGCATTCAGGCTTGTAGTTTTCAAGAAGAAGTCGAAAAAGTAAAACATTGACACGGACGACGACGGACAATCACTCGTATAAGCTCCGCTCGACAAAGTCGACAGCGGAGCTAAAAATGGGAACTGAATCTGACATTAAAACGCATGCATAGTGCTTTAACTGATCAATTCTCACTTATATGCAATGAATGTCTTGCTTTCTCAAATGGAATCTCATAAATTGTCCTAGAACTTCTATACTGCGCCAAGAAAAACACCACAAATGTTGGATTCAAACCCTGAGCACAACACAAGCGATCCAACAAATGCCAAGCGACCCAAGCCATCAGCTTCTCATTGCATGCCACCATCTCATGTTGTATCGTGAACACTCCCTGCATTCAATCAACTTCATAGCATATTGCAACCCCCCCATTACAATTCGTACAAAATAGTTTACAGAACATGCTGAAGGCTTTCAAAAGTACAAGAACTTCCACAAGACGTTTTTGAGACTATGCGTTGTCTGCGTCAAAGTACATAGTTTTGTTATGTTGCTTAATCACCCAAGTGTATTGATATGTAAAAAGTAGTGCCACTGGAGTAACTGAAAATGGCAGAATAAACAAATTGAACTTGAAAGCTGTGGTTTGGGGTGGTGGGTTCAGATGAAGCAGACTATAGAGTCCATCTTGTGACAAAATGTTTCCATTTTATCTTGGGTTGGGCTTTATTCCCCGAATAGTCCTTGCATACAAATTCAAAGTAATGTAAACATTGTACCAAATATTGTATCTTGGATAAATGTTATTAAACTATTTAATGGTTGAATTTTAATTTGTACCAAAATTGTAATCATGAACAATGACAAACTCTGCTAAAACATTGCAAGTTGAACAGACTCAAATTGAACAAAAGCATTTTGTCCTGGTGTGGGGAAATGTTTATTTCTTTATATACACGAGATAATACAAAAGTAAAAGGTTTGTAGCATACACAAAATCTTGAGCCATAGAGACACTTAAACAAGCATTTCACACCAACAAAGAACGATGAACTTGCTAACATGATTGCTTGATGTACCTCAAAATATAAAATACAGCATAAATACATTAGGTCGCACAATTACATTCATTATATATTTAAAGACAAGTATTAGAGAGTCATTGTCAGCTGACCAAGGAGTCACTTGATTGGTGAAGAAAATTCTTGCTCAGTATCTTGTATTTCTTTAACGAGTTGTAACCTGAAATGAGAAATTAGGGTTAATATTGATTTGTAGAACAGTTAAAATTTGTTTATTTGATTATTCACCAAAACCTAAATGGGTATATAGACGTGCAGACAGGACTATACATATGCCTTCATTTTGAATGAATCCAACAACCAAACCACAAGTGATACTTACGATATCATCAATCTTCATAATACTCCGTACACATTCTGATGCAAGTTGAATTGCACTAGTAGATACTAATAATGGTTGAACAACATTCTCTTCCAAGATATTAGTAATACAACCCTGTATACAAAATAATGGTAAACAGTTAAAACATTGCTAAAATGGAGTTGTTTGACAATTTTAGACATTTCTGGTACTACATATCCAAGCAAAGTGAGCACTAAACGAATGCAGATTGTCCTCAGTTATTTGTAAATTGGGTTCAATAAAGCTTATCCTCATCAACTTCAGTAGAGGGAGCTTAATGTCATCATTGGACAAATCTGGTTTTACAAGTTACTAGAAATTAATACCTTTCTGACATTAATACCAGCTGTCTTTTCACCCTGTACATGTCTATTACGTAATTCAGTTACAACAGATATAGGATTGAGTCCAGCATTCTCAGCCAATGTATATGGAATCACTTCCAGTGCTTCTGCAAATGCTCTGAAGCAGTAACCTTCCATCCCCGTGAGTGACCTTGCATGTTCCATCAGTCGTAGCGACATTTCTGTTTCTGGTGCTCCTCCACCAGCAATGAGGGCTCTGCATAAAAAATACATAACATTAGCATGGTTTACAATGTGTGCAAAGATGCACATGCATGTGTATTTGTCCTCAGTTATTTGTAAATTGGGTTCAATAAAGCGTATCCTCATCAACCTCAGTAGAGGGAGCTTATTGTCATCACTGGACAAATAATAAATATTCAAAGATTCATACAAACAATCAAATAAATTAATCAAATAAAATGTGGATACAGAATCTCAAACTTTTATAATGTATATATATGGATGGTAACCATCTGCAGTTAAGTTACAAATTCTCTATATGCGAGGGCTTGAAACCTTCTTGTAAGGCTGGTATGGATACCAATTCAAAACCCTATGTTAAAATTTGTATGGTGCTTGTGCACATTGTGAATACATACAATTCATATACCAGACTTTGAATCGCCCCAAACGAGTCTGATTAGGTGAGAGTATGTTTTTTATTATTATGCAAGCCATGTCAGGGTTAGAGGTAGGCGCCAAATGTGATGAGGTTGGGGATAAATTCTGCTGTTAAGTAAAACTGGCAAAAATAGCTAAGTAGATTCCCAAAACAAATAGCGTCTATTGTTGAAATTATGTAGAGACAATTTTAGATACTGTATTGCTTTATTAGAAGTGCATCTCTGTTAGAAGAACATGTTAAACCAATAGTTGCATGTATAGTAAAACTATTCTGACCATAGAAAGCTCATT